CTTGATAAAAGGAGATCCATTACTGGGTATGTATTCACAATAGGTGGAAATGTGATAAGCTGGAGATCTGTCTTGCAACATGTAGTAGCTCTGTCAACAACTGAAGCGGAATACATGGCATTAGCAGAAGCCTTCAAAGAAGCTCTTTGGCTCAAAGGCCTGACTCAAGAACTCGGCATTACACAAGGAACGGTAAAAGTCTTCTGTGACTCACAATCTGCGATTTGCTTGGCGAAAAACAGTGTGCATCACGAGAGGACAAAGCATATTGATGTAAGACTACATTTTCTGCGAGAAGTCATAACCGAAAACAGAGTACAGGTGCTGAAGATCACTTCGGAGGGAAATCCAGCAGACATCTTCACCAAAACACTACCCATCAGCAAATTCAATCGAGCATTGTCTTTGCTGAAGGTCACTGACGGATAAGTCAGTGAAAACCCTGCCAAGGGGTATATAAAAGAGCTTGGATAACAGTTCACTAATATGAGAAAGAGAGCACGAGGTTGGAGATGATGAAGGCAAGGTGGAGTTTGTAATAACTATGCCTACATCATTAGCCTCTACCTCGTGTGGAAGGTTTAACCAAAACCTTGGTACAAAAGAGAGGTTTCAAAGGGTGAATCGGTAAAAGTCTGATAGAAGGTTGTTAAACCTCTGGTTGTTAGAGACGTTGTAAGCTCTGGGTATATAACAGAGCATCGTTCTCATCCTGAGGCAGAGTTTTTCTTTTCTCCTTCTAATTAGGGTTTCTTTCTATCGATTCTTTCTGGGATTTCTGGGTTGTACGTGTGCGTTGTGATCTCAATCAAGTATTAGTGGATTGCCAAGCTTCTTGGCCGAGACGTAGGATCATTAACGATCCGAACTCGTTAAACGCTGGTGTTGTTCTTCTGCTCATCGCTTAGTTCTTACGGGTCAAGTTCGAACAATCAGCAAAGCAGAATCGGAGATCAAGGAAGTACAATATATATAAACTCAATATTGTTTAATTAAGTCTTGAGCTGTTTAGGGTTTCAGAGATAGAGAATATGTACATGGGATCATAAAGATTAATCGTACTTTTATCCGTAACTTCGCCCTACTTCTTTTATAGGGTTCTTTCACGACCTTTTAGTACGTGGATAATTATGTTCACATCTTTTTAGCATATTTTTTTTTTGTTGAAATTGAAAGGTCGGTCGGTCATTCATGCATATGATTTTGTCTTTTTTTTTTCCTTCTCAACTTTAACTAGTTATTCTTTAGATTTAACAAAACCTATGCTAAGTATTATATTGTTTTTTGATAATCCGCAAATTTACCGGTCATTTGATCTAATTTCATCTCTCAAACCGAAGAAATCCAGATGAATATCTCTCCCCACTCTTAGATTTGAATCCGAAATAAAAATATACTTTTCATATTTTTATACCACTAGACCATCTAAACTTAGATCAAATATTATATTTATCTGCTCATGGATGCATATTAAACTTTTTTGGAGTGGGTTGTATAAATTTGGACAATTTGAGATCGCTATATTTAGATGTTGAATCATTAGAATTTACAATATTATACAAGCTGGCCTAATAATTAGATTCATTAATTTTGTCCAACTTTGAAGACAAATTTGCCAATGGGTAGCTTTAAAAGTTTGGTTTATATATATATATGTGGACCATTCGTGGTATTGGGTTGTGCACTCGGTGCGATGAAGGAAGACTAAGAAGACCCAAGATGACGATGATGATGATTGGGTTTCTAAATTGGGTTTTGGGACCCTTCTTTTTGACTTGTATATGTTTTGGTCATAGATTTATGATCCATCCAATATGTATGTCTGTGGAGGTGGATGTTTCGGTATTCATTTCGGGTTCGATTCAATTCGATTTTTTCGGTTTTACAATATATATATATATATATCAATCAGTTATTATATCAGATTCGTTTCGATTCAATTTTGATTTTGTTCGGTTTGATTTTGGTTTTTATTAAGTAATTTTAGATTTTTTTACAAAAAAATCGGGTTTTCGAATTTTTTTAAAATTAGTTTTGAACCCTTTTAGTTTAAATAAGTTTTCTAAAAAAATTATCATTAAAAAATTTTGCACTATTCGATTCGAAAAAAATACCATATTTTTTGATTCACTAAGCCGTAACGTCCACACCTATATCTATATGTATGGATGTATACATGCATGTTCTTGTGGAAGAGATATAAACACATATATGGTTTGTGTGGGTGTGAGTGGCCCCCCACACACTTTCACCTGATATTTAAATGAACCTCTTTCCAACAGTGATATCTGGATGTTACAGGTGATGGATGATGCACTCGCTAGCCCTGGCCCCACATCTACCAATTGGGAAATGCTGTCTGAATCTTCTTTACTATTGTTAGTGAATACCAATATATATATACATGCACAATATGTATATATATATATATATATATATTAGGTTTTTATATATGAAAACCTAAACTGTTAAAGCGATGAATGCATTAACTACTAAACTACAGTAAATCCGTAACAGTAGCCCCCAGAATCTTGTCCTGACAACATTCAAAGTGTCGCCCCCCATTATCTAATAGTTAAATATACTATTATACATATTAAATTAATTGGACCATGATTTCTGGGGGAACAGGAAATAACAGGATCTCCTGTTGGGCATTACGACATTATCATTACAATCTTCACGCAGCTTCTAGAACGAAATCTGCTGCTTGGGAGTTGTTGTTCATCTTCTTCATGTTTGACATTTTCTGTGCTAAAGATGAATTCTGTGGCAAAGAAACAAATTATTGGAAGGTTGAAACTAAATTAACAAATTTACCAAAGAAAAAAACAAATGATTAATCGAGCATGAGGAGATCATGAACACGAAGCAAAATAGCAACGCACAGTATGTTGACTTAGTGAAAAATCAATTGTAGTAACAGCCTTTATATGAACATGTGACGAATTTGATGATAGGCAGTAGGGTGACTTATTCGGTTTCGATTTCAATCCGGTTTAATTATATTTAGATTTAATTATTTTTTTAACAAAAATGATAATCGTTTAACTGTTATATTGAATTCAGTTTGGTTTGATTCAAATTTGATTCATTTTAAAAATTCTCGGTTTTTCGGTTTTGTTTTGTTTTGTTATTTTAGAAAAAATATAATGTTATAAATTATTCAATTCAAATGGATTCGATTATTTGATTATTAACCAAATAAGCAATTACGAGTATTGATAATTAAGCACATTTTCCTTGTGAACCCTTGTTTTTACGACAAGAATCCAAGTTCGTATATGTATTTGGGCCTTGAATGGGCCTAAATTGTCAGCCTAATAAGAAAAAGGTATGGGCTTTAATGGTATTGGATCGATAAAAGGCCTTGTAATTAAGCCGAGATAAAAAGGAAAAAGAAAAAGAGGAAAATCATGCAAAGAGGGGTCACGCGCGTGAACCTGCATGAGCAACACGTGGGCCAAACGAAACCGGCAACCTGCTGCTACTTCCTTTCCGCCCTCACCTTCACCACTACTACGTGTCCAAGCTACAGGCATTTCCCAGTAACCGGTCCCGAATCTATCCACGTGTCTTGATCCTAGTGGCAAGCCTCTGAAACGGGTCCCACCCAGTAAAGTGTGGGTACTGTGGTCCGCGTGACCGCTCTTTCGTTTTCTCTTCAGTGGCAAACACGAAAATTCTGTAACTTCTCGTGTCCTTATTGGTCACACAACATTCATTCATGTCTCATCCCCGTAATTTTCTCAAAGTGACAAGTAATTATGTAAATTAATTTCCATAGTTTATTATCTCAAATTAATCTGACTTCAAATATAGAGATTGAATATTTTTTTAATAAAGATTGGAAACTAACTTGAAATTGATATATTAAATTTTTACGAATTAATTTATCAGTTTTACCGTAAAAAGTGAAAAATATCGGTAAAAAATGTGAAAAATAGATAAAAATAATAATAATATAATAAATTGTAAAAAACCTCTAAAATGATAAATTGCAAATAAAAAATGATGTAGGAATAATTATACTGTCCACTATCAATTATTATTAAATATTATTATAGAACGTAGCTTATGTAGAACGGTAGAAGTACGTAATTGCCCTTGGCATTGGCAGCAATTGTTTTGATAATCATTTTGACTGCCGCATGCAAATTTTACCGTTACTCTTTTCATGCAGTCCATGATTGGAGCTTACGTGGCTGTATTAAATGACGGAAATATCCCCTCGATAATCACGGTTTAATTAACGCTCCCCTAATAACGTCGAGCATTAATATCACCTTAGATATTTTTTGGCGGTTTAATTAATAGATATTTATTTTGGGCTGATTCCGAACAAACTCGATTTAGGCAGAACTCTGCCATTTTTTTTACTACATATGTAAATATTTTAGCAATTATTTTAATTAACATATAATTACGTAATTAATTAGCTGAATTACATGAGAATATAAAGGGTACTTTATATAATTAGAAGGTTTTAAGGTATGGAGCGACCAACAAAATTGAATGACAAGAGAAGCAAGCAGCATCAATCGCTCTTGTGATGATGAAGTATTATCATTCCACATATCACTCCTTAAAACTATCAATTTCGAATATCTAATTAATGCTCTCAATTAGGTGGAGGATTACACTACAATCAAAGTTATATACATATATACTTAGTATATTTATTTTTATACTTATATTTTTTGAGAAAAATTCAATATATATATATATAAAGAGTAATTACTGTTAAAAGATTTGTTTATAATTGGAAAAACAATGAAACTAACTAATAATAATGTAACCTTTCATTTAGAAACACTATTTCATAACAGACAAATTGTATTTGCTTGGCTTTCGTCACGTCTTTTTAACAAATTTTTCGTATATATATACATATATATATATTCATCCGTAATCATATTTATAGTACCTCTAGTTGGCCCCCCAATTCACCAACCAGGGTAAAACCGTAATTAAGCCACATCACATCACCCCCTTTACCATCTTCTTCCCTTCTTTTAACATTCCCTCCAATGTCCCTTCATGTAAATAAACTCAAAACCTCTCTCTCTCTCTCTCTCTGAAAAGCCATGGCTTTCTTCTTTTCCGCCGGAACTGTAACCCTCGCCGTTTTCGCCGCCGTGTTTCTCTCTCTTAACTGCAAGTCCCTCTCCTCGCCGCCGACGATCCACGACGTGCTGCGGTCAAAGGGACTCCCGGCGGGGCTGTTGCCGGAGGAGGTGACGTCATACGAATTGTACGACGACGGGAGACTCGAAGTATTCCTCGCAGCGCCGTGTCTGGCGAAATTCGAGAACAGGGTGTTCTTCGACAGCGTAGTAAGAGCCAATCTGAGTTACGGGAGTCTTGTCGGAGTCGAAGGTCTGTCTCAGGAAGAGCTGTTTCTATGGCTTCCGGTGAAAGACATCGTCGTACAAAACCCTAGATCCGGTGTCATAACCTTCGACATCGGCGTTGCTTACAAGCAGCTCTCCCTCTCTCTCTTCGAAGTCCCACCAAAGTGTAGGCCTCAAGGTATTTTTATTTTATTTCCATTTTATTTACCTTTTTTCCTGAATTTCTTCCTCTTTTTTTTTTTCTTTTTCTGATTATGATATATATATATATATATATATATAAATATATATATATATATATATATATATATATTTATTTACTTATTTATTTATGAGTGATTTTTTTCAGGGGTTCTGAAGAAAAACGTGACGAAAGATAGAGGACTTGAGGCTGATAGATAAGAGATATATTCAGAGAAGGGAAGATTTTCATCATATTCCTCCCGACCTTCAAAGCCCATTTTGTTTTTATTTTTCCTTTCAATTATCTGAGCAATGTACTAATCAGAATCTATTAGTCTGCTAATTACATGATTAGAGTATATCGTTTATTGTATCTTAGAAGCTTTTTTTTAGTGTTAATGTAAAGCTGGAACTCCCAATGTCATTATATAAAATGGCTCTTCTTGTTTCATGCTTTATTCTTGTCGAGTAAAGATTATGTCCTTAATCTCATTCTTTAATTACCTTCTTAGCGTCATCTAATCACTTTCTAAGCTACGTATATATATATTTTTACTATATGGAACCATTAAATAAATACAATATTTGAAAATTATCGGTCGGAATTTCGGAGATGTATTGGTGACGTCATTTAACCTAATATGCATGACGAAATAGCTCCCGTCTAAAATCGATAGGAATCACTAATCAGTGCTTCTGATGATCACGAAGAACACGGATTTGAATTTCTCTTCATTGGGCTTTTGCCTGTTCTGCGTAAGCTTCAATGATGGGAGGTGGAAGAGCTATCACTACGGCGGCGAAGGAGACCGGGATCTGCGTCGCCGGAGGAGGTTCCACCGGCGGAGGGGGTTTCCCGGTGGTACCCCCGCCGACCGTGCAGTTGGCGGTCAGGAACGTCCTGGCGAGGCATGTCTCGGCGGCGATCGCTTCGGCAACACATCCGACCGTCGAGACGACCTGGCGGTTGCGCAGAAGCCGGTGTGGGATGCTTGGGAGTTCGCCGGCATCGAGGTGGAGCTTTTCGGCGGCCGTGGTGGTAAGCCGACCGCTAGGGTTGTGCTCAGCGGTCCTGCTACTTTCCAGGAGGCGAAAGATGCCATCGGAGACTTGAAAGAAGCAATCGATATGCGAGTCAATGCGTAATCGTTGGCAATCTAAAACTAGCTCGGAATTTATCGGTTAGAATTTGTGCATTTGGATTTTCTTCTGCTTTCAATCATAGATTTTGTGGAACACTTAGCATATACTCCATAGTGAATGCTTCATATTAGATTGCATTAAGTTTAGAATATAGAAAATCTAGAGAATTTTCTAAGCATGAAGTGAGCTGCTGCGTGAACTATTTGTGAACCTTTTATACACTATATATGTGAAATATGAACCGATACTGATTATAACAGCATCCATACAACCATAGTTTGTTTGCTAATCAGTCTGAATTATAAACTGTTTAAATGTTGTGGTACATCTTGATTATTCTCGATTAAACATTGATTGATACTACGCATATATGTCTGTGTTGTGCATAGATACAACTGTAATCATGATCTGCAAACTTTGGAAAATTCTCAGGTTTGTGTTTCCTTCTGCTTTCTTTCGCAGGGTTCAGAGAAGAACAAAAATTGTTGGTCTTGTTTGGTGTAGTATCTACTACATTCTATCTGATCGAGGAACCGATCAGGAATGGATCTTTGGATTTTTTCTTGCTGTTAGTTTCGAAAACACATCAGGTGAAGTTTGTTATCCATTCGTGCCTAATCATATTGAATTCCTCAACAACAACAACAACATCGCCTCATTCCCAAGTTCATTTGGGGTCGGCCGCATGAATCCTTCTTCTCCATTCATTTCGATCCCGGGTTAACTCTTTCGGAATCATATTGAATTCCTCAATTAGTAGATTTTCAAGACAACTGTTTCTTAATTTATAGATGCCTATCTGGTAATTTGTTTACATTAACATTATTGAGGTTTTCTATTGGTATCAATTTCTCTTTTCCTACCCTTTGTGCTCACTCTGTACCATTGCTTTCTGCAGCAAGATGAGATCGTTAAAATATGACCTCAAGCTGCTGAATCTAATAGCTAAGCTTGTGCTTGGAATGGAGTATGCTTTGGAACCATTGAACAGAAGCTTTTGGAATCCTTGTGAGATTATTCGTATAGTCCACATAGTAGAGTCCGAACCGGACAGTGTATCCTGAGTTCCATTCCCAGTTGTCCAGCAGAGACCATACAAAGTAACCTCGTACGTCACAGTTTTCTTCCCTGCAAAATACATTGTGTCAAGTCATCACACGTGTGAAGAATCTGGTTTGCTGAATGAATTTTACAGGTTAAGTTACTTGGTTACCTTATGGCGGCAGATAAGTTGGAGAGATAATCTCTGTGGTAATTGATCCTCTTATCATCCTTCAATGCTTTGTCCCGGTTCATGAGTGGATTATTGAGTTCATCCACACCTGCAATCCTCCGAAGTTAAGTCAATGAAAGGTTTAGGTACATGATGTAGCTTAGTAAATCACATTGGCTGAGATACTTACCATTCTCTGTTATGAATATGGGTGGGTTTCCGTAGTTGTCTTTGAGATACACTGCCAGTTTCCTGATTCCCCACGGGACAATGTGCAGCCAGCTCGAACCCGCCTGGATGAAGTAAGTCCCTTATCAGATAATGTTTTTATTTCTGAAAAACCAATTGAATGATCATAGACGACATCCCTGGTTCAGGAACATACTCTTTCTCCTATAGCTACTCCTCCACGGAGAGCTACAATTACAAGGAACAAGAGGAATATATCAGTTTGGTTCTTGTTGTTGGTCTTTTTCACCCCAGATGGTTAGGTGTTTGGGATGAGAGTATAAAGATCCAAAAATCTTACAGCTTGTAATAACGGCTGCATCAGATGATGCGTCTTGCAGAATCAGTTTCCTTATACGAGTCCTGTCATTTCTTGCATATAGTGTCGTATAGTGGTTTATGCCCACAAAATCCAGTGACCCTTTTATTCGTTTGGACATCTCTGGTGTTATCTTAGGTAATCTCTCTCCCACAAGCCTTTTCATTGAAGCTGGATAGTCTCCATAGATAAGGGGATCCAGAAACCTGGTTAAAATGTCCTTTTATTACATCGGTTGTTAGCCTCTTTATCTGGGATTGGATCATAAATATTCAGGTAAAGACTTTACCATCCGAGTCCAAAATCCATTGCTCTCCGAGCTGCATCATTGTCCTCATCACAGTCAGACATTGGCTCGTACCATTTTGCATCAAGCGCTATCCCGATTTTACCTCGTTGTTTATCCTGCACAAGAGTTCATTGTTTTATTCTGAAATTTGTATCATTGTCTTGATTTTTTTTTCTCTTTGTGGACAGAGTTCTTCTACCTTAAAGTTTCTCTGGTAGCTGTAGTAAGCAGCTGCATGAGACAAGAGAATGTTGTGGGCTACAACATAGGGTTCAACCGATGACTTCCCCTTCTTACAAAACAAATGTCCCAGAAGTGAACACCTTCCCGGAGCTTGTATCCCCGTGTCATAGCCTTGGATCGAGAATCCGTGAGGCTCGTTGAACGTTATCCATTGCTTCACCCTATCTCCGAATTCTTTGAAACAGGTGAACGCATAATGCTCGTAATCCTTCCTGCAAATCATATAGTTTATTTTCTATTATACACCATTAATGATGCAATAATCACACTGTCTAATGGTATGCGTGTTTCTTTAGGCGTTTTTTTTGGTGGGTACTTACACAACTTGACTGCTCAACCATCCTTCATATCTGTCTTGTAGAGCTTGTGGGAGGTCCCAATGGTACAAGGTCACATAAGGTTGGATCCCCTTTGCTATTAGAACATCTATGAAGCTGTTGTAGTAATTTATTCCATCTGGGTTTGGTTCCCCTGTTCCATCTGGTTAAATAGAAACTTATCAGATATTATAATGTCGAGAAAACCAAGATTTCGATGTATAGAGAAAGTGTCTTGGACTTACTAGGGAAGATTCTTGGCCAAGATATTGAGAATCTATAGGCATCCATTCCCAGATCCTTCATCAGGCCTATGTCACTCTGTGATGGAAAGTTTAGGAAACAATGAACTGTTTTACGTTGATGTTAGTTTATAATATCCGTTAACGTTTATTATCTTATCATAGAATTTTGACATTAAATTTGCTTCTTCTTTTTTCGGGTGATGCAGATCTGTGTGAGGAGTTTGCTGCGGGGACAAGCAAGCAAGAAAAAACCTTGTTATCTTCAAACTCAAGTCAACACACCTCAAACCTGTGATATTGATCAACTGCCGTGTCTGCATTGCTGAAATCCAATATTCTCCCTACCAATGAAACACCAAAAACCCCGAAATCAACACCGAGAGATATATATCTCTTCTCCTGTCCGAATCCACTCGCAAAAACCGAAAGAATCTCCTCCAGGTTCTTACCAGGTTTCTTTGTGAAAGTGTCCCATATACTTTCTCCTTTGTTCCCTTCATCCACGGCTCCTTCAAACTAATCTCCAATAAAAAAAACCGAAATGCTACGGTTTCTGACAGAACTAATGCGGAGTAAGTTGGAAGGGAATGTCACCTGGTAAGCTGAAGAGGCTGTCCCGAACACAAACCCATCTGGAAAATCTGCTCTGCCGAGTGATTCTGAAGAAACCACGTGAGGTATGGCCATTAACAGGATGATCACAAGGATTCTCATCTTTGAAGGAAAAAAATAATAAGAGTTATAAAACAAGAAATGGAGAGAAGTGTGGATTAATATATATACATATATATGTATAGGCTTTGTGGTGAAGTTAAAGAAGAAAAGAGAAAGGAAGAGTGCAAGCTTCAACACTCTTCTTCTCTTCTCTTGCAAGAGAAGAACCTCTCTCTTCTTTGGTGTTGACGGATGTGCACTCCTTTTGTACACGTTTATTATACTGCCAAAAACTGAAAGCCCATATATATATATATACACATATCGTATATAATGATAAAAAAAAAATTCAGGACCCACGTTCAAAAACACATTCCAAAAGCCAGAAACCTTGAGAATTTCTCTGGGCTCCTCGGATAAGGAGGAGATGAAAAATCGAATAAGTTAATGATCATGGTCATGTACGATAACGATATATAAATAGTGGGTTGGGAGTTTTTTTTTAACTCTTTTTGGGGGGCAACTAGGGGTTTGGTGGCTTGACTTTCGTACATTTATATGCATGCTATTATATATATAGTCAATGTACATGTTATTTTATGTGATTGTGGGAAATATCTAAATGCATATATATTTGGCGGAAACTAACTTATGTGTATATTCATGAATGTGACACATCAGACGAGCCAATCCAATTATCTTTTCAATTATTGTTATAATATCTTATAAGTATGTATAATCGTGGAAAAGAAACGAATGTAATACAAGGTGCAACGTCATTTTTTTTTGGGGTTATAGATGAATTGTTCTCTCTTCTAGTTCCAGATAAAGCAAAAAAGACACAAGCGTCCAAAGTCCACACGTGTCCAAAAAAAGCAGACGTATCTCCTCTGTGAGTGATTAATGAAGGTGCTTGCACGCTTAGTAAACCTAAAGGGGATGGAGAGAGAGATTCACCTTATCCTTTGCTTCTTGCCCGTTCAAACGTAGTTATATATGTCTATATATATATATGTGTGTGTGTGTCTCGGCTACAAATGATCATCAACCACACCGGTGGCTTCGTACATGCTTCTGTACTTTGTTCATGTTGAATGAGCATTTGATAAACAAAACTTAAGACACCTCAAAAAGGGGCATTAGCGCGTTTAAATTCACGCCTTTTGACCTCTTTTCTTAGTTTATAGAGAGCTCATTTAGTACACAAGACGCGTTGTTACCAATTAACAATGTATATTAAGGTCCAAAATCACATGGCTCAACTGGTAGGGTGAAATACTTTTAACAATCCAGATTTGAGATTTCATTTGGAGAAAGTTATTCATCTGAATATCTTCAATCTTCTGGGAACGAAAAGACATATAGTTGAAATGAAAGTACTCGGATTATAAAAAAATAATGTATATTAAAAATTGGGATAATCACATAAAAATATCCGAACTTTTACAAAAATCTCAAATAAATACCCGAACTATAAAATTATCATATAAATACCTGAACTTTTCAAAACTCTCACATAAATACTCAGACTTTTAAATTTTTTCCAAATCAAACTAACGCAACTGCTAACTCAGCAAAAAAACTGCTGACTCATCAAAAAAAACTGTTGACTCAGCAAAAAATCTGCTGACTCAGCATTCAAAAATATTATTAAATATCCAAATATTCATCTACATATATTTAAATTAATATATACATATAAATTCACATATATATACAAATATATATATATATATATTAAAAATAAAATTATTTATAATTAATAAAACACATATACACATAACTATAATATATATATATATATATATATATATATATATCATTACTAATGCATATATATTACAATAAAAATAATTATAATTAAA